GACCATTCTTCTAGAAGCACATTTATGAGGTCAGGTACTGATGATGCCTGGCTCGCAGTCTCCACCCTAATTCATCCCAAAGGTGTTCTATCAGGTTGAGGTCAGGAGATCAGGTTGAGGTCAGGTTGTGCAGGCCAGTCAAGTTCCTCCACCCTAAGCGTGGTTAGTCACTCCAGAGAACACGTCTCCACTTCTCTAGAGTCCAGTGGCAGCGTGCTTTACACCACTGCATCCAACACTTTGCATTGCACTTGGTGATGTAAGGCTTGGATGCAGCTGCTCAGCCATGTTGTTGTGCCAATCTGGAGTCTGTAGCTATTGACTCTGCACACTGTGCACTTCACCATGCGCTGATCCTGCTCCCAATACTTTTGGAGATATATATCTAGATAGATCTATCTATATATAGATAGATAGATAGATAGATAGATAGATAGATAGATAGATAGATAGATAGATAGATAGATAGATAGATAGATAGATAGATAGATAGATCGATCTATCTAGATATAGATAGATATATACAGGTGAAACTAGAATAATTAGAATATCGTGCAAAGTTCATTTATTTCACTATAGCAACTTTAAAGGTGAAACTAATATATGAGATAGACTCATTACACGCAAAGCAAGATAATTCAAGCCGTGATTTGTCATAATTGTGATGATTATGCCTTACAGCTCATGAAAACCCCAACTCCACAACCTCAAAAAAGTAGATTATTACATGCAATCAATAAAACAAGGATTGTACATAGAACAATATCGGACCTCTGAAAAGTACAAGCATGCATATGTGCTCAGTACTTGGTTTGGGCCCCTTTTGCAGCACTTACTGCAATTACTTTTGCATGATATTCTAATTATTCGAGTTTCACCTGTATATAGTTGTGTGAAAAAGTATAGTTGTAGGAATGTTAGGAGGGACCCCATTTAAAAAAGAAAAAAACGTGGGGTTCCCCACAAAAAACATACCTGACCCTTAAGGTCTGGTCGTAATTTTCGAAGGTACCCCGTGTAAAAAAAAAAGCGTGGGCTTCTTTTTAAGGAACCCCACCCCCAAAAATGGTGAAAAAAAGAAGTGGGGTCCCCCCTAAAATTCCATACCAGACCCTATATCCGAACACAGTCCAGGAAGGGGGGGGGGATGAGCGAGCACCCCTGGAAAAGCACCTTGTCCCCGTGCGGATGGGGACAAGGACCTCTTCCCCACAAGCCCTGGTGTGGGGGGTTTGGGTAGGGGGCTTATTCACATCAGAGTAGCCCCTTGTGAATGAGTAAGGGGTACCCCTACCCATTCACTAAAGGGTTAAATAAAATTGTAAAAAAGAGGTCAGACTTTTAAAAAAAACAAAGACAAGACTTTTGACAAGTCTTTTATTAAAAAAATAAAACAAAAAAAATGGATCCACCGACGTAATCAATCGTCAATCATGATGTCCAGCGTTGTCCACGACGATAACGACTCGGCAAAATAAAACAAGAAAAAAGAAATACTTCTTTTAAAAATGACGTTCACCCGCCACAGAATGGCATTTTGACAGATGCCGGCAACATATAAACATTTGGGCGGAGCTAGCAGTGACAGCTACCTCTGCCCAACTGTTTACAGTTGTAACAGGTGAGCAATGATTGAGCAAAGTCATCATCACTCTTAAGCTTTTAGATTGTAAGCCCTCACGGGCAGGGCCCTCCTTACCATCTTGTCTTAAATTGTATTGTGACTGTAATGTCTTCCTTATATTGTAAAGCGCTGTGCAAACTATTGGCGCTATATAAATCCTGTATAATAATAATAAGCTGGCCATGGAGGTTGGCGAAGTGGATGACCACAGGTTTGTTCAAATCAGGGGCTTCCCCTTTTGAGATGGTGTTAATGGCGATCCTGATATCGCTTTGGTGCTTTTGGAACCAACGTTTGAACAGTTCCATGGTCTTGCCAACATAGGCTAGACCACAGGGGCATTTAAGGAGGTAAACGCATTCTGTGTTACAGTTTAAATAGTCCATAATGCATTTTTTTTTACCGCTATGAGGATGGAAGAATGTTTATGATGAGTGCACTGCAGATTTTGCAGTTGTAGCATTTGTAGCATCCTGTGTGTTATGAAATCTTTTATAGATTTTTTGGAATATTTAGGGCTGGGGTCTGCTTGTACCAAATGCTGACACAATGTGATGCATCACTATATCTTTGGACACATGGAAGTCTGCCAACTGAGGATTTATCTTTGTTCTCCGTGGAGGACATTTTTTCAACTGCTCGTTTAAGGGCTCGTTCTAGCACCATGTTCAGATACCCTCTCTGTTGAAATTTGGTGTACATCAAATTTAATTGTGCTTGACATGCATCTTTAAACGGAGGCAACACGTTTCAAAGAATTTATCTTCTTTGTCAAACCAAGTGGAGGATTAAGACAGTGGCAAGGCTGAATCGCTTAATTGTAGCAAAGTAGAAGAGGAAATCAGGTAGCTAGGCTTACGATTATCTTACACCTTACGATTATCGTACGACAATCGTATGCGATCGACTTTTCGTACGACAATCGTAATGTGTGAATAGAGTGCCCGACCGATAGTACTGTACAATCGTACGACTTTTGACGGTCAAGCATGTTTGAAAACTTTGCTAGATCGTACGATGTTCGCATGGTTGGTGGCGTTTCCGTCCGTCAAAAGTCGTACGATTAACACTGCGCATGTGCAAACGAAAACAATTGCGGTCAATTACCGCAAGTCGTCCAGGTGTTTTTTTTAACTACCGCTAATTGGACCTTGCGATAATCGGGGCAAGATGGGGCCGTCGTACGAAAATCGTACGACGGTTCGATCATTGGACGAAAAGTTTCGTCCGATAATCGTAAGGTGCATGGGTCATTCAGCAAGTTGAACTACTCCCATATATGCATTTCACCTGTCTGTTTAGATAATTACCTGAAGTTCAGCTTTAAAAACAATCTTCAGGGGCACATGTTAAGACATTGCTTATGGAAATTGTGATGGCGTGGAGTGCTTGTGGCTAGAGGTGAATAATAAACTGATTGTGGAGGTGTGCTATAGACCCCCAAAATAAAGGAGGATGAGGAGACTCAACTCCTCTCACAGATTGAATTGGCGGGGAAAATTATTATAATGGGGGACTTCAATTATCCAAACATTGATTGGGCAAAGGGAACCACACACTCAACCAAGGCTTGTCATTTACTTATTAAGAGACCCTTTAATGCAGGGATGGCCAAACTCCGGACCTCCAGCTGTGGTGAAACAACAAATCCCATGAAGCATCTCTCTCCGGGAGTCATGTCTGTGGCTGTGAGAATTAGGGCTGCAACAATTAATCGACATAATCGATTATAATTGATTATTGAAAAAGTTGTCAACTTTTTCAATCATCGATTAATCGGCTTCCGATTGGTTGGCCCTGTTCACGGCTCCACACGCTGCGCGCCGCACCTCCTCCCCATCTCACGTTCGCCGCTGCCAGACCCGAAGCATCCTGTGTGTTATGAAATCTTTTATAGATTTTTTGGAATATTTAGGGCTGGGGTCTGCTTGTACCAAATGCTGACACAATGTGATGCATCACTATATCTTTGGACACATGGAAGTCTGCCAACTGAGGATTTATCTTTGTTCTCCGTGGAGGACATTTTTTCAACTGCTCGTTTAAGGGCTCGTTCTAGCACCATGTTCAGATACCCTCTCTGTTGAAATTTGGTGTACATCAAATTTAATTGTGCTTGACATGCATCTTTAAACGGAGGCAACACGTTTCAAAGAATTTATCTTCTTTGTCAAACCAAGTGGAGGATTAAGACAGTGGCAAGGCTGAATCGCTTAATTGTAGCAAAGTAGAAGAGGAAATCAGGTAGCTAGGCTTACGATTATCTTACACCTTACGATTATCGTACGACAATCGTATGCGATCGACTTTTCGTACGACAATCGTAATGTGTGAATAGAGTGCCCGACCGATAGTACTGTACAATCGTACGACTTTTGACGGTCAAGCATGTTTGAAAACTTTGCTAGATCGTACGATGTTCGCATGGTTGGTGGCGTTTCCGTCCGTCAAAAGTCGTACGATTAACACTGCGCATGTGCAAACGAAAACAATTGCGGTCAATTACCGCAAGTCGTCCAGGTGTTTTTTTTAACTACCGCTAATTGGACCTTGCGATAATCGGGGCAAGATGGGGCCGTCGTACGAAAATCGTACGACGGTTCGATCATTGGACGAAAAGTTTCGTCCGATAATCGTAAGGTGCATGGGTCATTCAGCAAGTTGAACTACTCCCATATATGCATTTCACCTGTCTGTTTAGATAATTACCTGAAGTTCAGCTTTAAAAACAATCTTCAGGGGCACATGTTAAGACATTGCTTATGGAAATTGTGATGGCGTGGAGTGCTTGTGGCTAGAGGTGAATAATAAACTGATTGTGGAGGTGTGCTATAGACCCCCAAAATAAAGGAGGATGAGGAGACTCAACTCCTCTCACAGATTGAATTGGCGGGGAAAATTATTATAATGGGGGACTTCAATTATCCAAACATTGATTGGGCAAAGGGAACCACACACTCAACCAAGGCTTGTCATTTACTTATTAAGAGACCCTTTAATGCAGGGATGGCCAAACTCCGGACCTCCAGCTGTGGTGAAACAACAAATCCCATGAAGCATCTCTCTCCGGGAGTCATGTCTGTGGCTGTGAGAATTAGGGCTGCAACAATTAATCGACATAATCGATTATAATTGATTATTGAAAAAGTTGTCAACTTTTTCAATCATCGATTAATCGGCTTCCGATTGGTTGGCCCTGTTCACGGCTCCACACGCTGCGCGCCGCACCTCCTCCCCATCTCACGTTCGCCGCTGCCAGACCCGTCCGCATCCACGCTCCACACGCCGCATCTCCTCACCGCCTCACGTTCACCGACTGCCCACATCCACGATCGGCACAGGGTAATTCTGCATTCATTGCTGTATAATTTTACAGTTTTAATTCACTATATTGCACACAACACTTTTTGTTTTATTTTTTACTTCCACTGCTCCCAAGCTTGCTCCTGTGGTGGACTACACTCTCAATACACACTAGTAGTCCATCACTGGAGCCATTTTTTACAATTTTTTTATTTTGTTTATCCGATTAATCAAACTTAATAATCGGCTAACTAATCGATTTTGAAAATAATCGTTAGCTGCAGCTCTAGTGAGAATCTTGCAAAGCCTCATGGGATTCGTAGTTCCACCACAGCCGGAGGGCTGCAGTTTGGCCATCCCTGGTTTAATGGAACAGATGGTAGAAGTCCCAACTAGGATGAATGCATTGTTAAATCTAATCATATCAAAAAATACAGAGCTGGTTTCAGACATAGAAACTCAGGAAAACATGGGTACCAGTGATCACAGGGTGATCACGTTCACAGTAGGTTATAGAAAAGAAAGGCAGGTTGGTTTGACAAGAACACTACACTTCAAAAAGGCTAACTTCAACAAGCTGCAATCCATGGTATGAAATGGGAACAACTATTTCTTTTTTTTAGGATTAATTTTTATTAATTTCATAAAGAAAACATTTACAACCATATATATGGGAACAACTATTTCTAACACAACACTGAGTGGACTTATTTTCAGGATATACCAAACAATAGCATTAGCCAGTGCATACCATTGGGCAACAAAAATAAGAGTAAAAGCTAAACCTGCATGACTGAATACGAATGAAAAACAGCTTATCCATAAGAAGAAGCTGGCATTTAAAAAAATATAAGATGGAAGCGACAACACTGGCCTTCCAGAACTACAAGGAATGCAATAGAACAAGTAAAAGTTCAGTCCGGGCAGCTAAAATAGAATACAGTTAGCACAAAAAAAAAACTTCCAATACATATACAATAAAAAGGTAAGAAAGGAACAGGTGGGTCCCATAAAGCAGGGCTCAAAATTTCAAGTCCTAAGCTACTAGCCAGGCCTGAAAAGTTACTCGCCACCAGTTGCCCCACCTAACCCCTACCCTGCCCCGGCCTTAACTCCAACAGGTCAGCGGTGTGACGCAGAGTATAAAGATCAGTAACAATGCACAGTACAGAAGTCAGTGGTGCAGTACATAATACAGAGGCCAGCTGTGTGACGCCTCGTGCAGAGGCCAGCAATGTGACGCGCAGTGCAGAGGTCAGCATTGTGACGCAGTACAGAGGTCAGCAATGTTATATAATAGGAAACCAGCCATACCGGAAAAGTAGTACACCCGCCACCGCTGTCTTAAAGAGGCCCCCCTCCCAGTCCACATCTTTCGGACGTTATTAATCTGAGTTGCCCCACTCAGTATCTCTGCTGCTGCAGCGGCCAAGAGGGGAGAGATGAAGTAACTGCAGCAGGCGAGAAAGAGAAGAGAAAACAGAAGCGACCGAGCGATTGCCGCGGCGGCAGTGTTCCATCCCTAGTCCCGCCGGCGAGGCACCATTGCTGACATTCCACTCGCCCCCCCCCCCCACAATTTTCACTCGCCAATTGCGAGGGGGCGAGTGGAGATTTTGAGGCCTGCCATAAAGGATGGGATCTGCTGAGAGATAAATACTTTTATGAGCAAACAAGATATACGGGGTACAGTTATTCTTAGTAACACGCACAACCCAAAGGTTGAACTTGATGGACCTATGTCTTCAACCTTAATAACTATGTAACAATGAAAGGGAATGTTTTTAAGGGTAGCCTTTAATTGACATTTTCTCTTTGCAGATGACATGAATTGGAATGCTTTAGAATGGGATCGAGCAGCAGAAGAACTGACATGGGAAAGGGTAAGTTAACTAAGTCTTGAAAAAAATATATGCCCATTCATACACAGCACTTGCAAAGGTTTTCCTGTTTACACTCACACAAAAAACACACAACAAGGGTGCTGCTAGTATTTTGGAAGATCCTGGACACTGTAAGAAGAATAATAATTGGTGGTTGTGGCCTCCCGTGTGCTGTCAGAAGGGGGTGATTTAAGAGACTAGCAACTTCAGCACAAAATTACAGCTAATTTGCCTACAAACGTCGGGTGGTCATAATAATCTGGCCACTCAGTGTAATATATATGCGTGTGTGCGTATGCATGTGTGTGTATATATAGATATATCTATATATACACAGTGCACTCAAAGTATTCAGACCCCCTTCACTTTTTTTTAAATTTAGTTGCAGCCTGATACTACAGTTGTTTAAATTCTTTTTTTCTCTCATTAATCTACATGCAATACACCATAATGACAAAGGGAAAATAGAATTGTAGAAATGTCTGTGAATTTATTAAATACAAAACTGAAATATGACATGTGCCTAAGTATTTAGACCCTGTGTTGAAGCACCTTTTGGTAGCAATTACTGCCTCAAGTCTTTGTGGGTATGAGGCGACAAGCTTTGCACACCTGGATTGGTGGATATTCTGCCATTCTTCTTTGCAAATCCTTCAAGCTCAGTCAGGTTGGATTAGTTGTCCCTAAGCCACTCCTGTGTTGTCTTGGCTGTGTGTTTAGGATCATTGTCATGTTAGAAGGTAAAGCTTCTGCCCAGTCTGAGGTCCTGACCGCTGTGGAACAGGTTTTCGTTGAGGATATCTCTGTACTTTGCTCCATTCAGCTTTCCGTCAACCCTGACCAGTCTCCTAGTTCCTGCTGCTAAAAAAAATATCCCACAGCATGATGCTGCCACCACCATGCTTCACTGTTGGGATGGCATTGGGCAGGTGATAAGCGGTGCCTGGTTTCCTGCAGACAATGTTTAGAATTGAGGCCAAACAGTTCAAACTTGTTTTCATCAAACCAGATGATCTGGTCACTGATCTGGAGACTTACTGTCTGAGAGTCCTTCAGGTGCTTTTTTTTGCAAACTCCAAGCGGGCTTTCATGTGTGTTTTGTACTGAGGAGAGGCTTCCGTCTAGCCACTCTGCCATGAAGGCCAGATCTCTGGAGGCCTGCAGTGATTATTGTCTCTCTGGAACTTTGTCCCATCTCTACACAAGATTTCTGGATTTCACTCAGAGTAACCATAAGGTTCTTGGTCACCTCTTTTACTAAGGTCCTTCTCCCCTGATTGCTCATTTTTGCTGGGCAACCTGCTCTTGGAGGAGTCCTGGTTGTGCCTAACTTCTTCCATTTGAGAATCATGTGCTTTTTTATTTTTTTGGTCGCCTTCCCCAGATCTGTGCCTTGCAATAATCCCGTATATGAGCTCTGCAGGCAGTTCCTTTTGACCTCATGGCTTTTGCTCTGATACAGTATGCATGGTCAGCTGTGAGGACTTCTATAAAGAGGTGTGTGCTTTTCCAAATGTCCATTCAATTTAATTTACCACAGATGGACTCAAATCAAGTTGTAGAATCATCTCAGCGATCACGAGAAGTGGGAGGCACTTGAGCTAAATTTCAAGTGTTGTTACAAAGGGTCTACTTATGCCAATGTGATATTTCAGTTTTTCCTTTTTCAAACATTTGCAAACATTTCTAAAATTCTGTTTTCACTTTGACATTAGATTAATGTAGATTAATAAGAGAAAAAATAATAATTTAAACAATTGTAGTATCATGCTGCAACATAACAAAATGTAAAAAGTGCAGTGGGTCTGAATACTTTCTGAATGCACTGTATATAGCCAATCATTTTTTTTAAACTGTTGGGCAGAGTAGGGATGGTTTAGAACTCTACAGTTGTCACCAGTACAGGAGGAAAAGGGACGTTCTAGAGATATCAGTTCTTGTGACAGCTGTCTGAAAGCGGAATACATCCTTCATCCTGTTGCGTGTTCAGGGCAGGAGTTAAAGGGAAATCTTCCCAATAAAACACATAAAGCAACCCCCCCCCCCCCCAAAAAAAACAAAAACAAAAGCAATTTATACCATTCTAACTGTCCCAAAAAAAATACACTTGAATTATTGTGCTGAAGGTGAGAATCTCAGACACATATATACCTTAGCACAATCATTAACAAAATACTTTGATCAGAAGTATGTAGTTACAATATAACAAATAGTGTGCAGGGGTCAGATGTATATAATGTCCAGAGTGCTGGGGTCAGGAGAATGTATCATACGGCCCAGTGCACAGAGTGCAAGGGGTCAGGAGTATGTTGTGTACGGTCCACAATAAAGACTGCAGCGGTATGTAACATACAGCAATACTGGTATTGAATACTGTAGAGAATAGACAAAAGACACTAAATACATCTTATCTCTAACCTCTGTATGCTGTTTTACATTCCTCGATGGTGAACTCCCAGTGGAAGGTTCAGGAGTACTTAACACAGCACAGTGTAATTGCCATTTACACTGAAAATAAATGCCATGATAGCAAAAATTACCCTCCCACAGCAAATAACCCCTCCCTCTCCCCCAAGCAAAATTCTGCCCCCTCACCCCCAAGCAATGTGCCCAACCTTCCCCCTTTTTAATAATACACCACTCCGAATACACAACATTGCCTTTAGCAGAAATTAGCCAAACCCTAAAACAAACCCTCCCCAGAGGCAACCTCCTCCGGCCAACATCCTCTTACAAGAAAATCCACCTTGCAAACATTCCTCTCCCCAAAAGAAAACCCCTCCTTCCCTAGCCAAAATTCCCCTCTGGAAAGAGCCCTGTGTTTAGCAGAGATCTACATTCAACTTGCCAGTTCTTAGATACAGCGTGACAAAGAGCTGAGGGAAGTCCTCCCAGGCTTTCCCTTGGCTTTGTCATATAAAATGTTGAAGCCAAGGAGAAGCTTAGGAGAACCTCTTGGCTTTGAGTCACAGCCAGGATATCTGGTCTGCGGAACACTCTAGGAACAAATTGGTGTTGGGACCTTAGGCAACCGTATTTATGATTGTATAATCTCCTGTCGGGTTAATAACTTTATAGTATACATTCTTTCCAAAAAATCCACTACATTTCTATCCAGTCAGTTAGACCCTCATGATACATTGTTGTTGCTAAGTCTAAAACAGATTGCACAACATTATTCTGTGTGGCCTCTCCTGATCATAAGCTGAACTCCAGTCAGATATAACATATGCAAATTAATATAGCTCTGTAATAAAGTGAACCTGAACACGAAAAGTGAAGATTTAGAAAATATCTAAAGAAAATGTTGTTTGTGCATGAGCAGTACCGTTAAAAACATAACTTTTGTGTTTAATTCCTTATGAAAAGTTAAAACTAGGGATGCACCTATACTTTTTGAGTACCAGTGCCGATACTTGGCATTTTGTTGAGAACTACCAGGGTTGCAGCTGGGACCTGGCTTTGGCGCTCCACCACTGTCCTGAAATCATTAGTCGATATTGTTTTAGAAAAACTGTCACATGACAATAAACAAAAATGTATCAGTACTTGTAAATACTTGAACTCGCAAAACTGGTATCTGTGCATCCCTTTAACAAAATCGTATATTAAAACAGAAATGCACAAATCCCAGGAGCTCCGTGTGCTCCTTACAAATGACAACTGCCTCCTAACTTTTTAATTTTTCTTTAGTCTAGTCTTGGAGCTCGAAAAGTATCTGTTCTTGTACTTGTCTTGAGTACTGTACTTGATATCGGTGCATCCCTAGTGAAAACTACGTCCTGGTATATGTGAGGATGGCTAGACTCGCCTGTGCATACAGCCTAATCCCTGTATGTCTGCAGTGTAGGATCTAAGGCACTGCTGCCCCTAACTGCAAGTATTGGTGCTTCCCTTCTTACTCTTCTCCTTGCTGGATACGCTAACTTGGGAAAACAAAGTGTCTTAAAAAGATTACTACCTGCTGTATGCAGAACATGATATGATACCTCAGTAATGGGGAAATATCAGCTGAACAGAGACTACAGGCAAAGCTGGGGACTAGCCCTTTGCCTTATTCCTGCCATCTTTTGTTCACAGTTTCCAGAGTTCAGTTCCTTTTTAACCACTTCCTATCCGTAGCAATTTCTTAACCACTTGCTGTCCTGAGCAATTTCTTGATATTTGCACACACATGATAAAAATCTGAATTTTGGCTAGATAACAGCCTAAAACCCCCAAACAATTATATATTTTCTGAAAGCAGGGGCCCTGTAGAATAAAAAAAATTGCTAGTTGCATTTTTTTATGTCGCACAGTATTTGTGCAAATGCTTGTCAAACTAGTATTTTTAGGATACAATACACTAAAATGAAATTTAGTGCACAGAAACAGAATGTAATACCCAATTTTCTTTGTAAAATATAAAAGATGGGATCATGTCGGGTAAATTGATACCAAACATGTCAAGCCTTAAAATTACGTTCGCCCTTGAAACTGCAAAAAAACTACAATACCCCAAATTTCCTATAGATTTGCTTTAAAAGCTTTTAGTGTTAACAGCGATTGATGGCTGTAGAATTATTGCTCTCACTCCGGCGTTTGCGATGCTATGTAACGCGTGGCACAATTTTCGTTTTTGCACGTAAGCTGCCTGAAATGTGGATAAGCAGAGGATTAATGAAATAACTTTGATATATAATCTGTTATGTTATATCACTTGTGGTGAAGGATGCTTTTAATGTATGTTTATCAATGCTATGGAAACTAGGAATTTTTTAATTGAGCACTTTGAGTATTTATTGAACTGAATAAAGAAAAGAATTACTATGATCACGGCTACTGCACTGTTTATATACTGTACATATGGTGGTCCTGAAGTGGTTACTAAGGGATACAGGATCCGTATTCAAAGACAAATGGGTTCTATGCAGCCACAGACAGGAGGTGGACGCTAGCAAACACACAAAAAAGAAACATTTGCCAGCCAGATACAACCTAATTGGCTGGCAGACTATCTC